GATTGAGGTGACAGATGTGTAAGCAAGATTAAGGCAAGTCATGTAAACTTTCCGTGACTCAATTCCTGGTAATATGAACATAACTAAAATATATCACATATTTTAGATTTTTAAATACAGCATATTTCAAAAGACACTTAAAAAAAGGTAGAACTATTAATACATGCTTATTATGAATATATTTCAATATGACTTCTTATTTTAACCAGCCACAGGAAGTCTGTATACACAGTGGCAAACTCCTTTGATTTTATTTATTTTATATTTCTGCTCATTAACTACGTCTCTAATGCTTCTTCCCACAGCTTCAGTTACTCAGTGAGTTTTCTTCATTTGGAAGCATAAAAGGGCTAATAATTTACATGTTTCTGGTAAGATCAACTTATTTTGCCTCCGTCTTTTTGTTATTTACGTAATTACAATAACTCAATCCATTTAAATTGTGTGGTGCTAAACGGCTTGTGATAACATTATTGATTACATCTAAAATCTTATGTTTCTTTAAGTAGGATTCCTTGTCCACACCTTCTTGTTTCACTTGTCTCTGATAACGCACCTAAAAGAGCTTTCTTTTATGTTGTCCTGTATTGCTAGGGTTCTAAATCATATACTTTATATTTTTAAATTCTCCTGGAAATTGACTGTATCTATAGCTGGATGTCTGGTAATGACGCTAGATGTATCTGGATATTTTTGCTTTTTACATCACATGGCATTATTAATTTTCATGGCCAGTGTGTTTAGAAAATAAAACCCAAAATATCATAACTATTACACAGTTCTATTTTTTACATTATAATTTGCAAAAGGTTAATATGATTTCAATAAAATTGTGAAAATATTGTGGCATTGAGATGCTAATGTCAATTGCATCTAGGCAGCATTCTGGGAACTATTTTACGTCCTTTATTTGCAGTACTTTTCTCTCAAAGGCCCACAAGGAAGTTTGCTATTTCTGCCAGCTGCAACTTATATGGGCTTCTCAAAGAATCCAGCAAGGCTCTGACAAAGGCAGACAGAAAGGAGGCAAAGGAGAGGAGAAGCAATTTTCTACATCAAAGGTATGACAAAACACTTGACAAAATTGTATAAAAATGTGTATGACACACATTATCCATGCATCCTGGAAACATCCTTTTCATTCCAAAACTACGGTGAGTCTTGCCAGGCACTTTGAAATTGTACTTGCAAATATAATTCTTAGTTCTTGCAATATGATCTAGGCGAGTGATGCATAAGCAAGCATCTCTCTTATCACCTAACTCCCGGGAAGACAAATGGAATTCAGGTAGCATATTCTGAGCAATTATACAGAGACTACTCCCGGTGGTACCTCTTTTCATCCCACACATACCTCTCTGCTTATAGAAAACAATCACTATCTGATGAATGATTTTCACAAAGCAGCCAAGAAACAGCATTATGATGGCATAAAGAAGCAAAACTTGATCTAATGCAGACCTATAAACAGAGATGTCTTCTAAATCTAGCAAGGTAATGGGTTATGATAATGAGAGTTGAAAAGAAAATGCACATATAAATATTGTAAATATCAATCCCATGTTGGGAAAAAGGAGGAAATGCCATGATTTGTTTAGTATGATCAATTTTTTTTCTAATGAAATCAGTGATAGCCATAATCACTTGGCAGGCAGTAGCTAAGAGTAAAAACACATATCTTGAGCAGCTTAAGGACTTTTTTTCTGTATTGTGTCAAGCACAGTACTCCACATAGTGTGGAGACAATATAAACTAATAGCATAAAATGTAAAAATTAAATTAAACCAAATAATCTTTGGCATCAGTTGAAGACACAGACTGTACCAGTGACCAGTACAGAAAGTTTTTGATATTCGTTATAATGTTAGACATTCATATGCCTTTCTTAAGCCTATCTGCTCTGAATATTAAGAATAATATGATCTTATGCTTTTTAAGTAATAGATGGCCCATGAAAAAATTAAAAAAGGTAAAGATATTCAATGATTGAATTATCACATTCTAAATTATCACATTCTAAAGTCATGTTTCTAAGAAAAATAATATACACAAATACACTCTAGAAATTCTTAAATATAAATTTTCTTATATATAGTACTAAAATTTAGGCACCTATCTATGAAATACAAACAAATTAAATGCCATCTATGTTATGCAAAAAATGTATTTGTTTATGCTAATGCACATTCAAGTCAAATTCACTAGACATTTATCTGGAAGTAGAAATTCCTCTTTCACTGAAGAACATATAGAGAAAACAAAATTATTTCCTTAAGTAAATATCTGTGAGACATTTTTGATAGACCAATCTATTTACACATTTAAGTGAATTCCCTTGAGATTTTCATTTTTAAAATTCTTTCATAAAATTAAGTAATTAACTGAGACTCAATATTGTGAATGAACAATTCTCATTTTCATTGTTTATTGATATGATATTCATTCCACACCTGAGTAAATACTCATCTTTCAGAAAGTCACTGGGTAGATTATCCTGTTCCATTTATCACTGAAGGCACAGACGTGTTTGTATTCTGAAGTTCGGTCTCTCCTTGAAGTAATTGAGGCTTTAAGCTTCCAAAAGGTTAACTAATTATGAATGACCAAATAGTTTCATTTTAGAGGGTCATTGTTCTTAAATGTCACAGTCATTAGAAGCGATTACAGCTTAACTACCTACCTTGGACTTGTTTTTAAATCAAGAAGAATTAGAAAGCAAAATAAAAATTCTCTCTTTTATCAGGGGTTGGATTACATTAGGGTCAACATCTTCAAGGTGAGGATGTCAGCGCCTGTGCACAATTTTGTACTTGGTTTTGAACAGGCCCTCAATTGCTTAGAAGAAAAACATATATCCTCAATACTTTTTTTCAGGGAAAACAGTTCCGTAAAGGCAACTACTAAAAAAGCAAATCAAAACTCCTTATGGAGTTTTTGTTGTTGGTTTACTGTTAAAGATGATATTTGCAGACCTCAAGTCATAGAAATAAAATGACAGGTAATTAAGAAATAGTTCCAGATGTCTGTATGTAAAGGGAAGACAAAATGTTTAAAGGAATTGGTTTTCTCTTTTACCTCTCCATTCAGAGCAAGACCAGCAAAAAGACAATAATACAAAAGTTCTGCTTTTCCCAACTCAGATGGTATAGTGGGGTGAAGGATGTGGCTTTCTTAAACAGAACAAAGTTCCTTATTACTACCTTTGATTTATGCATAGTATAGTGAGCTCCCCCTGACTTTATTCCTTATAAATGTTTGTTGAATAAATGATAGATGAATTGTGATTTAGAATGACATAAACAATATTATTAAACGCTACTACTTTTCCTTTGTAAAACAGATGAAATAAAAAAGTGTTTTCATATAAGATGTGTGTGTATGTATAGCTAGAGTATACGTATACAATAAGGGTATCTTGTTACATGTTCACGGATGAACTATAAAAGAAAAATTGCTCTGAACCAGCTACAGAGGCAAGGGAAATGTATTCAAGACTAGTGTAATAGGAGAAAGATTGAACTCAACCTCATGGAAACAAAAGATGGTAGGGTTTTTAAGCACGAGGGTGAACTGCTGGGAAAAATGCTGGAAGATATTAGGGAGAAAACTGGTCAATGCAATTAGCCATCCGTGTTTGCTAATTGTCTCTTCTTGAAGTTAGGCTCCTCTCCACCCCTAGATACTGGGTGATAGAGATCCTTGTCTTTTTTGATGATTACATTTCACAGGATGGCTCCCAGGTCCTTGCAAAAGACATCCTTCAGTTGTAGAAGATTTACATCCCAAAGGAGCAAAGAAAAAATTTACGACTGCAAGTTTATTTATTAAGTAAATGCTCTAAGATAAAGAAGGTCAAAGTCCAATAGTCACGTTAACCTGTCTAACGATTAGTTAACGTGATGGGAACATGAAGGCTGTCTTGGTCAATACTTGCTCATATTTATGTATTTTGCTAAACTTACATATGCATATGTTATCTTTATTTTATAGATGTGAAAAATAATATATCAATTGGCCTATATAAATTAGAATTGGATGTGTGCTGATGCCCAAAGAGCTTGAAATATACAAATACTATATTTAAAAAAATGAAATTATTAGAATATACATTTGTATATAATAATTACTAAATCCATGCCCTAGACACCTAATTACAATCACAGCATATTTATATACCAGGTAGAAGAAATATCAGGTGAAAGGAAACTATATGCTATGTGCTTATTTCCAAGAAAAAGTTCATTTTACATTTACTGATTGAATAATTCATTCTCTAGCTATTGAACCTGCCATTTAAAATAACAAATTAAGCTTTTAAACAACACATGAAGAGATGATTTGCAAGAGTAGCCTGAATATCAAAATAGTAAGTGATTGCTGGATTTGTCAATGGCAATTTTAGGTTGAAGAAAACTTTTGTGTCTGATAGGAGGAGGAGATGCTGAGCTGGGAAAAACTGCTTTATCTTTGCCCTGGCTCAGACCTTCACCTCTTTTCCCTGGACCACAGAGCCTGCTCCTTTTCTGGTCCCCTTTCTTTCAAACTTAAAGAATCATTTCATGTGTGCTCCATAAAGAGTCCAGATTTGTCTTTCTAAAATGCTTAAATACAAATCTACCTCATTCCCCCGCTTAAATGCCCTGTAAGGCCTTCCCAAGTCTGTCTTATTGTTCAATTCCTAACCTCTGTAGTGGGCCCAGGGAATACCTCTCTTTTAAGCCACCCTGTCCTATCACTGCTCCATTACTTCTCTGTCTAAACCAACTCACCAGAATCTATGGACAAGGGGTGTTTGAGTATAAGGTCCCAAAATTTCCATTTTCAACAAGTGTCTCATTCTTAAGTATAGTAGAATCCAACACACCTCAGCATGTCTGCATCGGACCTGGAAGTCTGAATAGTTAACAGAACCAATGACTGTTTGAGGAAGCTGTAAAAGACTTCCTTAAGATTTAGCTTAAGAGTTAAGTTTGTCACATTAAAAACAGAGAGAGACTCTGTAAAAGAAAAAGATATTTATTCACAAATGGGCATTGTAATGGCAATATCCATACCATAGTAAACTACATGCATACTCAGGTAGGTAAAGGAAGACAAAGATTTTTAAAGGAAAAATAAAGAAGATTATAAGATTGTTTTGTGATAATTATTGTTAGCTATAAGGATCCATATCAAGGGTGGTGCCGGTCCGAGGTTAGACAGGAAGTTGCTGTGCAGATGTCCTCACAGTTTTTTTTGTGTGTAGTAAGGTTGTAGTGGGCCTTTCTTTCACAAGCTTGTGGTTTTTGCAGAGTCTTTTGTGATAGTTGTTGCTATCAGGTATTTGTGCATAAGAAACCTCTGTTCACGGCCATCCTTGACTCCACTTGGCACAGTCTTTAACACAAGAGGCCCCATTTTGATTCTGACAACTTTCACAAGTTCTACGTGTGGGTGGGTGACAGGACAGAAATGAAATTTATATTTCTGCGAATTGACTTTATTTACCTTGGCTTTACTATGAAGATATCTTACATGTTTAAAACATTTTTTAAAAAGAACAATTCTTAAAATTTAAGAAAGTCAGTTTCTGAGATGCCCTTACTTCCACAGGCCCTTGCCTTTAACATACTCTTCCTTTCGTCTCTGCTTATGCTGTCTCTGGAATTCATTGTTGTGCTCATTGCATTGGAGTGTGATTATTTTATTAAGCCTAATTGATTATGAGCCCCATTAAGAATCAGAGCATAACATGTTCCTCCTTCTATCTCCAGCAGTTAGCACTGGGTTTGACACATTGTGATTCTTTAATAAAGGCAAAAATATTGATGTAGTATATATACGTATGCTCTCTTAGGACGGCTAAACAAAGTAGGAATACCCTAAATATTGATCCTTTGAGGTCATGATAGCTTACACAAGTAACATAAAGGCAGGAGTTTTGTATATATGTTGTTCACTGTAATATACCCAACATCTAAGACAGTGACTATGTACATGGCAGGTTCACAGTACATTTTGTTGACTGTTTAATGAATGGATGGATAACTAACATAGCCATGTTTGGGATTCCCATATATAATGGTATATTGGACTCATTCATTACGTGGATTCTAATAGTTATATTTCTTGTTTTACCTATTTATTTACTAAGGCACCAATTTCCCCTGGAAAAATTCTAAGATCTATCAAAGAAAACAAAAGATATTTAGAAAAGGAACGTGCTGTCAAATAACAAAGGCTAACATCATACATAGTAGACACATACATCTGAATTATTTGGTTAGAAGGACTGCTCTCAAGAATTGTGGACTTACTAACAAATCAATGACCCTACAATTATCAAATATCTTTTGTTAATTTAAGAACAAACTCTTTTCTGCCATTGTTTGAAAGGGTGCAGCTTTGATTTGAGGGACATGGTCTGCATTTATCTAGTAAAAGTGGAATATTTTTATGGCTATTCTGGTTTGACTAGATTGTGCTTAATTTACTCATTCAACAGACCTACCTAAAGGCCTTAGAAATGACTGAGTTGAGTGCTTCATTCAGGAGGGATGTATATAGTCAGGACCCAATTTAGAAATAATTTCTGCTGAATGTGTTGAGTTCCTTCATTAACAAACCGGAAGTTTTATTTAGATCTTTGTCTAGTGATTTACATTTGGATCCTTACCTTTTTATCTCCCAGAGTATTCTGCCCAAGAATTTCTCAAACACTAGTCTACAGATTTTTTATGAAAAATTTTTACTTTCCTGCAGCAAAAGAAGAAAAAAAAAAAGCACTATTACATCTATATCCCCATATCTCTATAACTGTCTCTATATCCTGACACAGTAGAAAGTGAATAATTCTCTGCAATGGGCTTCAATTAAATAAAAAATTGTTCTGTGAAAAATCTAATGTCTATGCCTGTTCATTGTAGGTTCATTCTGACCTCATTACCAGGAGACATTGATAATCATCAGTTATCATTCTTTGCCCCACCATAAACTTATTGTTCTCCTGACACCATGACACTGTTCCATATCTTTGCCCCTAGACTACATTGTGCTTCACTTTCTTAGGGCCTTGCTAGGTGATGACCTACCTTATTGGATAAAGTCAAATGTAATTCCTTTTTTCTCTTCCTCTTCCCTAAGATAAGAGCCAGAAAACAATTTCATTCCTAAACAGTGGACTTTCCTCTATAAAAGAGGAGATATGTTGAAAGATATGTTGTGGTTTAGAGCTTGGGGCTAATATTGATTTAAAAGGATGATCTATTGGCTTGGAAAATAAAAATAGAGCAGAATTACACTTCTCACCAATTTCCCTGTTTGAATAAAATTGGAATATGTGAAATGAGATTCAGGAAAACTTTTACCAGTCATCAGGATGGGAGGAACCAGGTAAAGAACACTAGAGACTAAAAAATATCTGCATTTGTCCAACAGCAGGCCTGCAGGTGAGCCAAATACACAGCTAGATTTGCCCAAACACAGTAGAGCACACAGTTGAAACTAAAATGCATATGTCCCACTCCTTGTGGATAACAGGTCCTTGTCATCATTATAATGATATTTAAGTACAGAAGCGTCACAGATGAGATCAATAATGTCAAAGAAGAAGTAACTGGTTGATGATGTTACTGGTTGTCTAAGTAAGTGGTAAATACTCCTTGTGAGAGTAACAGGAGAGTTTTGGGAGAGGTTTGTATAGGAATAAAAACTGACAACAAGGGAAGGCAGAATGGGCCTGCATTGCTGGAAACGGCTTATGTGTACACTGAGGATACATGCTTGGAAACGTTTCCAGTAAGCATGTGGGTTGAATATGTTCATGAATATTCAGTGAGTATAAAACAGATAGGTGTCCCATAGCTTTCCTTCATCCCGTCTGTCCTGCCCGCCATGACTGTGCACAGAGAGAAACCCCAGGTAGCAAGTAGCTGAGTCAGCACCACTTACATCCTATTTTTATGTATTTTCCTTTCCTCCTGGAAGAATGGCTCTTGGGTGTTCTCATCTTTTTCTATGCATGGGAAATACCCAGAAGAGAGACAGGCTTATGGTAGGTCATTGCAATTTTATTGAATTTCAATTAAGATTTCACATAGGGGTTCCACATAAGATTACCCTATGTGTACGCTGTGCATGGACCATGGCTCTGCTTCAGGATGTGGTTCTGTTCCATGTACCTTCTTTTTCCTTGACCAAAATTGGAGGAGCAGCCTCTATCTTGGGCATTAACTCAGATGGTCTAAACCAACAAGCCACATTAAAGTGTTAGCATAGATCTGACATCTGTCACATTCTACTGACCAAAACAGGTTATGTGGCCGTATCTGACAGTGGACAGGGAAGTACATGCTAACTATGGGGAGATAGGATGTAGCTTGGCAAGAACAAGGACAGATACTGCGATGATAGCAGAGGGTGTGTAAAGTAGTGAACAGTAACCCTACAGCTGCTACCTGGCCTCTCATTGTAAAACCAAAGAGTGCTCATAGACATTGTTTCTCATACATGGTTTTCCCACTTTATCTTGGGATACCCATTTTCTCCAACTCTTGACTTCTAGGAATCCTATAGCAAGGGAAAGAAGAAACTAAAGAGTAAGAAAGAGGTAGTAAGAACAATGATCAGAATTGTCGGTATATTTTAAAGGCAGAAAGGAATTTGGAATAATTTATTTCAACACTTTCATGTATAAGATGGAGAAATCAAGAAACAGGGATAAAAGACACAGACACAAGGTTTTACAGGTGGTAATTGTTTCAAATTTTGATAGTTAAAAAATTCTGGACTCCTATGTTCCTTTGACCAAGAAACATCCCTCTCCTTGCCAATTCCAGCCCCTAGACTATGACCAGGGATTCTTCCTTTCTGCGTTTCTAAATAATGGTGACTTTCTCATTAAATAATAATATACACTTCTTTCTATGAGATGCATTTCCTTATGCTCTTATTGGAGATAAAGTATTTGGAAAACCAACTCACCATCCACCCAAATCCCACCATTTTACCTGTACAACTGAAAGTAAGTTGAACTCTGCAGAACCTCTTAAGGGTCTCAGATCAATCTCACTAAGTTGTAATTTAATAATTTTATTTCAACCCACACAACTCTGCATATGGGTGGGGTTGGACACACTTATCATCACCATAGTAAGCTGTGATATCTCTTCTCTGAATCAAATTTAGTTTGAATTTGAAAAGACTTTCCAGCACATAAAAGGAAGACAAGAGACAATGCTTCATTTCTCTCTCTCTTGGAAACTTAAGGAAATAGATCACTGAGTGTTTTACTATCAGAAGTTTATATTCTATAAGTCTCAATTGAGAAATGTGAAAAATCAAGGCATTTAAAATACACTAAGAGGAGGAGCAGAGGAAGATGGTGGAATAGAAGGCTTCACTGATCTTTCCCCCTCACCTGGAAGGACACCAATCTAACAACTACCTATACTCAAAAAAGCATCTTCATAAGAATAAAAAAGTCAGGTGAGCACTCATAGTACTGGGTTTTAACTTGGAATCAGTGAGGCACTGATCAGAGGCACTGAAGAGGTCAAGAAAAACAGCTGTGAATCATTGGCACCACCTTCCCCATCCCCTGGCAGCAGCATGGTGCAGAGAATGATTCTGTGTGCTGGGGAAAGGGAGGGTCCAGCAGTTGTGAGACATTAAAATCAGTGCCACCCTGTTATAGCAGAAAGCAACTCAACCCAAATGCAGCAGATGCCTACCCATGGAGGAAGCCTTTAAACCAGCCCTAGCTAAAGGGAAATAGTTGATCTCAGTGATTGGGACTTCAGTTTCCAGAAGTCTAACAATTGTGGGCTAAAGCACTCTGGGGTCTTAAATAAACTTGAAAGGCAGTCCAGGCCATGAAGATTACAACTCCTATGCAAGACCTAATGCTCTAAGTGGGCCCAGAGCCAGTGCAGTGGGGGATCATGCAACCTACAGAGATGGGCTAAGGGAGTGCTTGCATCACCCCTCCTTCAATCCCAGACTGCATACTTCACAGCTCTGAAAGAGACTCATTCTTTCTGCCTGAGGAGAGGAGAGCGAATAATGGGGAGGACTTTGTCTTGCATCTTGGATACCAGCTCAGTCACAGCAGGATAGGGCACTGGTCAGAATTGTAAGGCTCTCTTTTCTGGCCTTAGATCCCAGAAAAAATGTCTAGACACACTTTGAGCCAGAAGGGAACTCACTGCCTTGAAGGGAAAGACCCAGCCCTGGCAGGATACAATACCTGCTAACTGAAGAGCCCCTGGGCCCTGAATAACCAGAAGCAGGACGTCCTGGTCCTAGAGTAAGACTCTGAGACTTGCGTGCTTCAATAGAGACTTAACACATAACAAGCTGTAGTAGCTATGGGACAAGACTCCATCTGCTTGAGAAAAGTGGAGGAGAAGGTAAAGGGGACATTGTCTTCCACCTTAGTAACCAGCTTGGCCATGGTGTGGCGGTGGGGCACCAAGCAGAATGTTGGGGTCCCCAATTCTAGGACTTGGCTTATGGGTGGCATTTCTGGATCTGCTCTGGGCCAGAGGGGAGCTCACTACCCTGAAGGATGAGTCAAAGTCTAGGCGGTATTCACCACAAGATGACTGAAGAGCCCTTGGGCCTTAATGAAACATTATAGGCTGGCAGTACTCCTTGTGACCTGGGGTATTGATGGCAATGCAGTGAGACTCCTCTGCTTTTGGAAAGGGGAGGGAAGCCTGGGGAGAATTGTATCTTGTGGTTTGAGTGTGAGCTCAGCTGCAGTACAATAGAGCACCAGGTAGACTTCAAGGTTTTGACTCTAGTCCTTGACTCCCAGAGAGCACTTTTAGATCCACTCAAGGCCTGGGGAACTTGTGGCTCCAAAGAGAAGGACACAGGCCTGGTTGGCTTTGTCACCTGATGATTGTAGAGCCCCAGGACCTTGAGTGAACACAGGTGGTAGCCAGGCAGTGGCTAAAGCAGGCCTTGGGCGAGACACAGTGCTATGCTTGCTTCAGGTCTGACCCAGCACAATCCCTGTGGTCCTAGCCATAGAAGGGCTTGTGTCACTCCACCTCCAGCTCCAGGTGGCTCAGAACAGACCCAGAGATACTGCTTGTTTGAGAGAAACTAAGGGTAGGAAAAAAAAGTCTCTGACTGGTAATCCCGATAATTCTTCGAGATCTTGTCTAAAACCATCAAGGCAGTATCTCTACAAGTCTTCAAGGATCACAGCATTACTTTACTGGGCTTAGAGTGCCCCCTAAATCAGATACAGCTCATATCACAAGACCCACATCCTTTGAAATATTTGGAAAACCTTTCCACATAGGATAGATAGAAACAAACCCAGAATGCAAGACCAGTAAATGTCCAGACACAGATGAACATCTACAAATATTAAGACCATCCAGGAAAATATGACTGTACCAAAATAACTTAATAAGGCACCATGAACCAATCCTGGAGAAACGAAATATGTGACCTTTCAGACAGAGAATTCAAAATAGCTGCATTGAGAAAATTCAAAGAAATTCAAGATAACACAGGGAAGGAATTCTGAATTCTATGAGATAAGTTTAACACAGAAATTGAAATAACTACAAATTATCAAGCAGAAATTCTGGAGCTAAAAATGCAACTGACATACTGAAGAATGAATCAGAATCTTTTAGTAGCAGAATTGGTCAAGCAGAAGAAAGAATTAGTGAGCTCAAAGGCTTTTTGAAAATACACAGTCAGAAAAGAAAAAAGAGTAAAAAACAATGAAGTGTGCCTATAGAATCTAAAAAGTAGCTTCAAAAGGGCAAATCTAAGAGTTATTAACCTTAAAGAGGAGATAGAGAAAGAGATAGTTAGAAATTATACTCAAAGAAATAATAACAGAGAACTCCCCAAACCTAGAGAAAGATAACAATATCCAAGTACAAGAAGGTAATAGAACACCAAGAAGATTTAACCCAAATAAGACTGCCCCAAGGCATTTAACAATCAAACCCTCAAAGATCAGAAGTGAAGAAAAGATTCTAAAACAACAAGATAATAGAAACAACTAACACATTGGAGCTCCATCATGTCAGGCAGCGGACTTTTCAGTAGAAAGCTTACAGGAGAGGAAATAGTGGCATGACATATTTTAAGTACTGAAGGAAAAAATCTTTTACCTTAGAATAGTATATCCAGTTAAATTATCCTTCAAACATAAAGGAGAAATAAAGACGTTCCCAGACTATATATATATATATATGTGTGTGTGTGTGTGTGTGTGTGTGTGTGTGTGTGTGTGTGTGTATCTCTCTCTAAAGAACACTGAGGAATTTTATCAACACTAGACCTGCCTACAAGAACTCTTAAAGGGATTACTTCAATCAGAAAGAAAATGATGTTAATGAGTAATAAGAAATACTCATTATTACGATACAAAACTCACTGGTAATAGTAAGTAAGTACACAGAAGAATAGAATATTATAACATTCTAACTGTGGTGTGTAAGAAAGATTAAATAATGAGCCAGTAAAAACAATCACTGCAACAACTTTTCAAGACAGGCAGTACAATAAGATATAGGTAAAAACAAAACATTAAAAAGCAGGGGGGATGAAGTTAAGATGTAGAGTTATTTTAGGTTCCTTTTGTTTCTCTGTTTGTTACTGTAAACAGTGTTAAGTTGTTATCAGCTTAAAATACTGGGTTGTAAGATAGTATTTGTAAGACTCATGGTAACCTCAAACCAAAAACCATACAACAGATACACAAAAAATAAAAAGCAAGAAACTAAATTATATCACCAGAGAAAATCAGGTGATTTTCCTAAAAGGAAGACAGGAAGGAAAGAAAGAAAGAAAAGAAGACTACAAAACAACAAAAATATAAATAACAAAATGGAAGAAGTAAGTTCTTCCTTATCAGTAACAACATTGAATGTAAATGGACTAACCTCTCAATCAAAAGACATAGTGTGGCTGATTGTATTAAAAGAAAATAACATCCAGTAATATGTTATCTACATGAAAATCACCTCACCTATAAAGACACATAGGCTGAAAATAAGGGATAGAAAAAGATATTTCTTGTCAATGGAAACCAAAAAAGAGCAGGAGTAACTATATTTAGACAAAATAGAATTCAAGACAACAAAAACTTTGACAAAGAAGGTCATTATATAATCATAAAGAGGTTAATTCAGGAAGAGAATCCAACTATTTTAAATATGCATGCATGAAACACTAGATATATAAAGCAAATATTATTTTATAGACAAGGAGGGAGTACTTCCAAAATCATTCCTATGAAGCCAATATTACCCGAGTACCAAAACCAAAGACAATTCTAAAAAAGAAAACTACAGGACACTATCTCTGATGAAAATCAATGCAAAAATCCTCAACAAATGAAATTCAACAATACATTAGTAAAAGCCTTAATCATGACCAAGTGGGATTTATCCCTAGGTTGCAAGGATGGCTCAACATATGCAAATCAATTAATGTGGTAAATCATATCAACAAAATAAAAGACAAAAACCATATGATCATTTCAATTCATGATGAAAATGCATTTGATAGAATTCAACATGATTTCATGATTAAAAACCTTTAAAAAGAACTGGGTAGAGAGGGGACATATGCCAAGATAAAGGCCATATATAACAGACCCACAATGTATGGTTGTATTAAAACATCTCATGTACCCCATAAATATATACACATTGTATGTACCCATAAAAATTAAAAACTAAAATGTGTGTGTGTATATAATAGAGAGAGAGAGACAGAGAGAGAGCGCGAAGGGAGGACAGAATATTCAAAGCCTGCAATTCATTTTCAATGATTAGTTGACTATACTCTGATTTAAGAGGAACTCACACAATAGTCACCCACCATTTTCTCCTCGACTGTGCTGCAAAAGTGAATACAACGACCATAATATGGTGAATTTTTAAATACATCTCTTGCTCCTAAAAAAAAAAAAAAATGTAGCTGACCTGTCAAAATAGTTGCTGCCTTCCAAATTTCCAGATTACAGGTGTTCCCTTAATGACTTAAATGATTGTCTTTCTGCCAAGATGACAAAGGTGGGACAATTGATGTAACTGTTATCCATCTTGTAAAGAGTTTATAAAATCCTTCCTCATGATTGGCTTCACACGCTGATTAATAGACACTTTCTATTTCAGACTTTAATTAAAAGCAATAAAAGCAGTCAACTGTAGGCCATGAATGTGTTGGTAACAAAAAAAAAGTGCCATTAGAGAGATGGAAGATCAAGCACTGAACAAATTTAGTGTGAAGCCTCGTAAGTAGATCCATATGCCTGTGCTTAAAGCCTCTCTGTGATAGCCACAATAGCTAAGGGATTGCACAGATAGAATAAAACAGCAGTTAACAGGAGAACCGTCCGTTTTAGACCCAATCTGCTTTAATTTAAGAAAACTATGCACCATCTTTCTTCATATTTATATAAATGTCAAAGTTAATGAAAACAAAAAAAAAGATGACTTTTGAAGGAACAAACTCTAGCCGGCAAGTTGTGTTATAAAACAAAAATTGGTAATTTAATTCAGTTGCATCTGAAGAGTAATTTAATATACATCATTGAACAGATGTCATAGACTGTTGTGAGTCATAGAGAAAATTCAAGCAAATGGATATCGATTCCCACCGTATTACAGTAATTATTCACTTACCACTCAATTTGAAACATTTACCTGTGCTTAAAGCCATATAACTCAAGAAAGTGAGTGTGTGAAAATGCAGTCCTGTTAGCAGCACACAGAAGGATACAAGTTGTTAGAGGGACAAAACATGACATGTGGGTTTTGCTTCCTGCTGGCTTTTTTGTAGCCATCTCTAAGCACTTGAGTGATAAAAAGCAGCAAATGTCACGGATTCCTTAAAGCCTGATACACACATTTGGATATTTCACAAATATGCACACACATCCTCACTTTCTCGGAGACCACAAGGGGCATTTTCTACTTGCATACCTGGATCACAACCAAATAAAGAAGATTTTCAGGAAAAGTCTGAGTTAAGTTGATCTTTCAAAGGAAGGCATCTTTCCTAAATCCTGCCACGGAGGAATGCAACACGGTGTTTTTGCATGAGGTAAGGCCCTGACTTCTCAGGGCTCAGTATTTTGGCACAGGAGGCAGACAGATACCAACTTGGCAATTTAAGAAGGCCATGTTACAAAGACTTGAAAAATGAAATCTAGTGTGACAGGAAAAACATTAACATCTGAGTTTCATAGCCTCTCTTCCTTCACTCCCCATCAAAGATAATTCTGTTTTGCCAGTTTTATTCAGGTTCTTATTGTGCCGACTGGCACAGTTGGGGTTGAGGGGTGGAAGGCTGGAAATAAAAGAAGCTAAAACCAAAATGATTGATTTTGTTGAAAAAGGCAGAGATTTACTCCTACAAAGGAGAAAAAGCATATGCATGTAGCAAGTAGAACTGCGGGTAAACATAAAAGCCAGTGATATCGTGCTGTAGAGAGGTATTGTGGGGCTGGGGCATGTTTTACTTTTTGCTTTGCTGAAGGGAGTGAAGGATGGAAGGATGGAGGAGGGAAGAAGATTTCTGTTTAATTTAAATAAATTTTCTTTCACGAACCTGTGATCTTTTCAAAGGCAACAGTGAATTTTATTTTTGTTGATTTAGACACAGAACTGACATTTTATATTAATGAAATATTTTAAAAATTTTTCCCAAATGGAAAATATTTGTGTGGGTTTTGCAAATATAATTTTTAGTACAAAGGGCAAAGTATCTCTTTTTTAAAAATGCATAAATCTTAAGATCTAGCCAGTTTTTCTTAAAACTACAACAGTCCTATTAATTCTAATCACTCAAAACAATACACATTTAAAATATGTTTTAGTGTGAGCTGTTGTGTTTAAACATATTGATATTAGATGTTTAGAGGTAGATTAACTTTCCTGCTAAGACAGGAAAAGTTATGTCTTCTTCTCACTATAAACTGAAACTAAGAATATCTCCACACACAGACACATGCATAGGTAAGTGCTCACCTTTTTTCCAGGATGGATGTTATTCGATTTGTGTTTTCTAAAACCTTCATATCAGTTGTAAACCACCATAGCTTAATTCCCTGGAAATGCAGGAAGGACCATTTTTTGCTATTATATTCAGTTAAATTATGATGAAAAAATCCAAATGTCCTGATTATTTTATCACCAGTCCACTAGTCCATTAAATTCCAATATTAGTGGTTTCATGTAATTAAAATGCATCTGTACATTCCTTTCAGTGATCATGAGACAACTTCTAATTTATACAATCAGTGAATACAAATTTTAGGAAACTAGGGACAAACATCCTAAACCTAAAAATATCTCTACTTATATATTTGCACAAATCCTATTCAGCAAGCAAATCCAAATTTATATGTATATCATTTCCACCACTCACCATTCAATCCATCGACCCGTCTAGCCTCTCTTCTGCGTCATGTTATTTTGCGTCATTTGATAAAATTTAGTGCGTGTGACAGAGTCAGAACATCCGGGTTTTTCCTAGTAACTGGATATCCCTGTACAACCAGCATAAGTCATGTCACTTTTCTTATCTGTGAATTGGAGATAAAAATTATACATGCCTCATACATTCCTGTTGACATTTCTATACAACCTTGCATGGAGCATGCACAATACTGAACATAAGGGACCAGTACATGGCAAGGTCCAAAAAAAGGAAGCTGTTCTTTTCATTATTGAGTTAATGCTCCCTTTCCTTTCCCCTGCAGAGTCTCATAGAATAAGACTTTGTATTTCAACATTGATGCTTTTAGCTAGGCAAGTCATCATCAACATAAACAAATGTAAAATGCTCACACTATGTAACATGAAAACCACCCACTAGGCCTAATATTAGAATGCCTTGACTTTCCCAGACGTTTACATATTCTTCTCTACAGAAAACATTCACTGCAAATATCTCCATGAATTTTGGGACATAGATGAGAAACACAACTCTCTCAGTTCTCACCCTCACTCTCTCTTTCTCTCTCTCTCTCTCTCTCTCCCCCACTCTCTCTCTCTACACCTACTCTGTTTCTCAGAAGGCCATACACACTGAGTTTTTGGGGAAAAAAATGAGAACCTCTTTTAAAATTCCATCATTTTGGAGGGCAAATGAAGATATTCTATGTTTTGTGGTTGTGGTGGTTAATACTGAGTGTCAACTTGATTAGATTGAAGGATGCAAAGTATTGTTCTTGGGTGTGTCTGTGAAGGGGTTGCCAAAAGAGATTAACATTTGAGTCATCGGACTGGGAGAGGCAGACCCATCCTCAATCTGGGTGGGTGCCATCTAATCAGCTGCCTGTGCGGTTAGGATAAAAGCAGGCAGAGGAACGTGGAAGGACTGGACCGGCTTAGTCTTCTGGCCTCCATCTTTCTCCCATGCTGGATGCTTCCTGCCATCGAACAGCAGAATCCAAGTTCTTCGGCTTTTGGCCTCTTGGACCTACAGCAGTGATTTACCAGGGGCTCTCAGGCCTTTGGCCACAGACTGAAGGTTGCACTGTTGGCTCCCTACTTTTGAGGTTTTGGGACTTGGACTGGCTGCCTGGCTCCTCAGCTTGCAGATGGACTACTGTGGAGCTTCAGCTTGTGATTGTGTAATAAACTCGCTTTCACATCTACCTCTAACCCATGAGTCCCTTCCCTCTAGAGAACCCTGACTGATACAGTGGTATATTTGTATCTCTTTAAGATGCTGGGCTCAAATGCAGTAATTACTTCAATCAGGGAAATATTACTTCCACCAGGGAAATATAGTTAGACATGGGTCTAACTATAATTATTGTAATTGCTCTCACCTTGAGCAATTCCTTGATAAGATGGACACATTTTATCTTTTCTGTGGTCAGTGGCCCTGCTTCCTTCCCCTCTAAAGTGAGATAAGAAGGCTAGAGGGGGCTGGAATTGGGGAGAGTGGAAGAGGCAGTACCCTTCTCCAGCAGAGAGAAGGCTCTGATAAAGTTGCTTTATCTGCAGACGTGTCCTTCGGGAGAATGCTCTGGGCATATTTCTCAAAGGTAGATTTCTCCCTTTCATGCCAGATTCCTCAGAGGATCTTCTCTTGCTCTTTACCACAGAACCTGGTGGGATTCCTGGACGGAAAGCTCATGCAAGCCTGCGTGTCCTCAAGGAAGGGACTCTCTCTCTCTCCCTCACTCTCCTCCCCGCTGTCAGGATCTAAAAAAACCAACACCATTTTAATGCAGCTGACAGCTAATTTTAATGCCTTACTACCTCATATGTAAAAAAAAAATCAAAGAAAAGATAAAACAAAATGAAAGCTAAGCAATGATATATGAGGATAGTTTAAAAAAATTGACTAAAAAATTATTTCCTTTCACCCCAAAATGTCTAATCATGTCAATAGTGGAGAAAATAAGGGGGCATTTGCTATTCAATGCCAGTGAAGACAAAATATTTTCTAGTGTAGCAGCTCCTCCTTCCCTTCAGGTGTCCTGGTATTTACTATAAATATTGGAGAAGAAATCTCATTATGACCTCTGTCCACTTATGGAGAATGTTTGAAAGAGGATACAGAGAGAGAGAGAAGGAGAGGGAGAGAGAGAGAGAGAACACCAGGGAGAAACAGAACAAGTGAAAATTTTCTGGTAATAATCAAGGCTTGCCAGAACAAGAATAGCTAATTCTGAGTGTCAACAGGTCTTACAATGCAATCACATTCTCTCCAATTTCCCTCTATCTTATACAGAGCTTTGTAGAGAGAAGATATTGAGAAAACATTTAGCGCAGACCGATGCTATATATAAAAGGTAGATTAGTTATTAACAGATATTATTAGTTCAGCTCAAGAAATTCAGAGCCAAAAATGGCCAGGAGATATGTCATATTTCTCAATGTTTCAGAGATTTTCTTGCACAAGTATAACCAGAGTTGCTATAATATTTGGGATGTAGGTTATAGTGATATTTCTATAATATTTGGGATGTAGGTTATAGTGATACAAATACCTTTAGAAATATCTAGAATTCTCATTCTAAATGAGAATTACTTATGTCAAGCCCAATTTTGCAATAATTCTAGATGTTGCTGACATCTGTGTTACATCTGTAATACCTGTAACAGAGATATTCCTTTACAAGTTGTGTTTACTAGGCCATATAATCTTGTTGGTAGAAATAACAAAATAACAAAAACTCCTACTAGACATTTTTTTGTTTCATATCCACTAAATTTGCTGAAATTTCAGTCTCAAAAAATCCTTCCCATATAGCTCTGTAGAGGGTGTGGGATGGGATGGGTTAGAAAAAGATGAGATGAGACAGGGTGAGGTGGGATGGGAAAAGATGGAATAGCATGAGAATGGGATGGATGAGATGAGATGGAATGAGATCCATGGGATGGGATGGGATGAGATGAAATGTTATGAGAATGAGATGGATGAAATAAGATGTAATGAGATCCCATGGAATAGGATGGAATGGGATGAGATGAAGTGGTATGAGAATGAGATAAGCAAGATAAGATGGAATGAGATGCCATGGGATGGGATCAGATGGAATGGGATGGGATGGGATGGGATGATGGATGGGATGGGATGGGATGATATGGGATGGGATGGGATGATATGGGATGGGATGGGATGATACAGGATGGGAGGGGATGGAATGGGACAGGGTGGAATTGGATGGAATGGGATGGATGGGATAAGATGAAACGGTATAAGAATGAGATGGGTGAGATAAGATGGAATAAGATGCCATGCAATGGGATGGGATGGGATGGGGTGGCCAGGGATGAGGAGCAGAAGGGAAAATTCTCCACCTACTCTTCGTATGCCCATCATTATCCTCTCCTAACTAGCTCATGCTAATGATGTCTTTAGTCACTCTCCAAGTCAGAAATGACCATCATGGCCCTTATGACTATCAAAGATCCTGCTGCTACTACTGCTGCCAGTGTCCACTGTGTGACCTGTGCACACTGTGTGACCAAAGTCATTCATTCCCTACCAAGAACACTAGTAGGCAATTTGGTGTGTCCTAAATGCAAAGCTGTTGCCAACCCAAAGACCCCACTCTTAGTGTTACTTCCTTATTCACCAGCCCGGCTGCAATTAATATTTGGAGTATTCATTGCACCATGGAAATTGAATCAAGTATTACCTTTACTTTCAATTTGTCTTTTATTACTGCTTCTTTTCTAGAGGATCAGGCACAAATTCAGGAAGAATGACCCAGTGAGACTGTATTTTTATTACTTCTTCTCAAGAGAGGTATGAAAATCAAGGGCAAGAAAATTATGTCTTATATCTAAGAAATTGGTATTCATTCTTACAAAGTGTAAGAATAAATGTAAAACTTAAAGTTCTGGTTTGCCTAGTCATGGTTCTCCTATCTCTTTAGAAAGTTTTTCTTTTCCAAACAACTGATGTGTAAGGAGGATCTGTGTGCAAGTTATCAAGGAATTGAGGAGGACAAATCTAATTTGCCTCGTCAAAAAATAAAATACATCATGCAGAAGTATTTGACCTAAAACTTGGATATTATTTATTGATGCAGCAAGTATAAATGGGGCCTGAGTGGGGTGGGGTGGGTGCCATGCTTTTATGCACTCTGCAGATATCTGTTTAGTACCTCACATATGCTAGGTGCTATGATGTAGAGTTGAAGAAAGAAGATGCAGCCTTTTCCCTCTGGATCTACTAATCTAGTGGAGGAAACACAGTTGACACAAATAATGGTACAACTATTTTTGTAATTACTAATTGTCGTGAGTTCAATGATATAAAAGTGAAGGGTACTATGGAGTGATGTAATGAAGAAATTAATTTATATTGAGACCATTAGGGAGTATTTTGTTGAAGAAGGGGTCTTAAATATAAGATAAGATCTTGTTGAATAAAAAGTGACAGGAATTGAGCCAGAAGGAGCAAAGGGCAAAACTGAAGCCCTTGTGGATTAAATGTGAGGTCGTCCCAGGAACTCGAAGAAGACTCATGTGGTTGAACACAGAGTGGTAGATTACAGGGGTGAATCTAGAGACATGAGTATATTGTGATGTTGAATTTTATCTCAGGGATAATAATGATGCATTAAGCATAACTCTGTAAAAAGGGTTTCATTTTTCTGTCTATTTTGAACTACTCCTTTCAAGAGTCCTTAAAATGGAATTACTGAGTTTCAGGTATAAAACTTTAAAAAAAACCTCTCAGTATATGGTACTAGAAGGGCCTAAATTGTGTCTCCTCAAAACCGGTATCTTGAACCCCCCAAACCCTAGTGCCTCACAGTATGACTATATCTAAATATAGAAACTTCAAATAAGTGGTTAAGTTAAAATAAGACCATTGTCACAGGCCCTAATCCAGTATGACCAGTGTCCTTACAGTAACAGGAAGAGACCCCAGAAGAACATGCACACAGAAGAACACAGTGAAAAGGTACCCATCTGCCAACCAAAGGGAAGTCTCAGAAGACACCAAGCATGCTGGCACCTTGATCTCGGACTTCCAACCTACAGAGATATGAGAAAATAAATTTCTGTTGTTTAAACCACCTGTTCTGTGATTTTTTTTTTTTTTTAG